TGTTCAATAACAAATTACTCCTAATAGTTTCACTTTCCACCTAAAGATGGGTTGAAAAATCAAAAAATCTCTGGGTGACATTATTCTTATTCATGGTAGTTAGTGTCAACTGGCCTCAGGTCAAGGTCCCCACAGGATAACTGAGCATATCGCTGTGTCTCTGTGTGCGTTGGCCTTGCAGTGTGACTGTTTGTACAGTATGTGTGCTGGGAGGTCCTATTACAGTAGCTGTCAGCCAGCCGTTCAGCCACACAATACCTGTCACTGACACCGCCGTCCCATGTAAACCGAAGCATTGTCCTGATGCACAGACACCCGACAGTCTTTGAAGCAGGATCCTAGGCCAAAGCTGTTTATTCAAAGGAAGGAGCGCGTTCAGCAGCATGTTGGTTTTAATTAAGATTTGACTTCACACAGATATACGAGCGCCAAACCACATCCGCCTCGGTGCTCATATATCATCCACCAAGCATGAAGAGAAATGATTGATCGTCTGTTAATTATTCTGCAGAATTGTTGTGTTTGCTCCCTTAGGGAGTAGATCCGTGATCAGAGTGCAAATAAATGCTAATCCCACTTCCTCTCCTGGCGTGCTAACATTGACTTTAATGATGTCACAGCTGTGCTACATGTCCCTTTACCCTGTGTTTGCTCTTCCACAGGGGTGACCCCAATCTGGTCAAACTAAATGTAGCCATAACCTGTGGTTACCTCCTTTATGGTAAGCTGCTTTTTTTAGATCTCTGTTGATTATTTATTTTTGCACACAACCCAACTAGACATGGTTTTTTTTGTAGTCTTTAAGCAACTGAACGGTTCATTGCAAAAGCATTAACATCTTAAACCTTGGAGACTTCTACTGTTAAATGCAGTGCAGCTAAATTATCGTCAAATAAATAAGAATATCTGATGTTAATATGAAATAAGAAGATTTCTGCTACAGGGACAGGAGGCAGGTTTGAGTAGATGGATAAATGGAGATGAATATAGAGCAACTCTGGAGGGAAAGATCCTGGAAAGCTGCAGAGATGTTTTGATTATCATGTTAGAATGTCCTAGTCAAAGTAAATCTTTAAAATCTGAAGTAAACCGACATTCAGACATTTCTTGTCCAAACTGATTGAGCTTGAACAAAGAAACAGAAGGTAAACACTGAAAGCAACCTGCAGCTTGCAGAGAAATGAGGTTTATTGCATCGCCAGGCAGTTTGTTACTCCACTGGTTCTCAGAGTTTTTATATTTAGTTTTTTTTTATCTCAAGATCATTAGATTTCAAATTTTAGAATTGAGGCATTAACAGAACCGGACCTGGACTTGCTTGGGAAAAAAAAAAAAGATGACGTCAAATTTCCAAGAAGGAAAACCTGAATTTTTTCATTGATCCCAACCTCTAAATCCAACATGGCTGCCCTCCATCTAAAGGATACGGATGGTTACAGCTAAAGCTGTTTGTTAGCTCTTCTGATTCAATGTATCCTGTGAAATCAGTTCCAGAAACAGAAATGCAAAGTCCTGAGTGTTTAATCATGTTCCTGCAGCTTTTAAAATGCCACAAAGTTTTCTGGTAGATTTACAGTCTTTTTTTTTTTTCCAATGCTCTGATTTGCTGATTGCAGTTTTAGTTTATTGCCATTTCTCTTAAAACACACCTTTCTGTTTTATTTGACTTTTTTTTTCTTCTAATTGAGCTTATAAAAGAAGAAGCGCTTAAACGTCTGACCAATTAAAAGTTTGTAGTTCTAAAGTGTTGAAGTCTAAAGCTGTGCTGGACGGCTTTGTTAAACTCAGAGGAATAATTAAAAACCAGACGTGCGTTCAGCTCGTTAGACTGTGGTGTCTGAATGTACCTTAGATTAAACCAGGCTGTTCCTTTATGTTCTCTTACCCCCAGATTCCACATCCTCCGTCTCCGCACCGCCCCGCATGTCGTGTGTATTAATGGTCTGTCATGTTAATCAATGAGAACTATTCCACATCCACCGCTACTCCTCCGCATGTCACCGTCCAAGTACACCTTCGCCTTCCGTCACTGTTAAAATACGGAACCAAGCTATTTTTTTTTGCTCCGATCCGGCCAGGTCAAGATCCGAAATTACAATCGC